CATTATTAGTGAAGGTCATGATTCATAAGCTGCAAACAGTACCTGTTTGCACTGTGACCATGGGTGCACAAACAAAAATCAGCTTGATTACTTGTGATACTGAAGTATGATTTTGATTATTATGAGCCAGGATCTTAAGGTATAAGTAATGCCTTTTTTTATATGATTTTACAGTTATAGATGTTGTTACCTTATTGGAACAGCAACATCAAAAGCGGAATGAACTGTTCCAGTTTAACTAGTGCTGAATTAACTGGTGATATGTGCATGTCTGAGACTGTTTGACATGCAATCTCTGAAAGTGAGGACTATAGGTGACAGTGTTGATGCATGTTCAATACACTGCAAACCTCAATAAAATATTATTAATATAAAGTTAATAATCTGATTTCAAGTCAATTTGAGAAATGTTTATACTTTATAAAGTATTTACTTATATGTTGACACACAGCTAGAACTGTGTATTGTATATTTGTTGTGTCCGTTTGTCTCTGACAGTGTGGTTTGTGTGTATGTTATGTTGCTTCTTGCTTCGTATGTATCTTCTGGTTGTATTTGTGTGTGAAGAGGTGAGGGTAAGTAGGTAGAAAGTCGAAGTTGAACGAGAGGTAGGTGCAGAAAGACATCTGCAGACACAAAAGAAATAGGTTAGAGCACCTGCCAAAGTTGTGTCCATTGCAGAGGAATGAAATGCTATGTTTGGAGTTTGCTTCCAGCTATTTAGGTAGACATGGTGGAGAGGTGAAAACCCACAGTGCCATCATTACAATTGGCCTGCTATGGAGAATGACATTGGCAAGTAGGTGAGATTGTATCTTCGAAATAATTTTATTATTATTATTATTTTATGAAACCTTTATTTAATCAGGAAAGGTCCCATTGAGATTAAAATCTCTTTTTCAAGGGAGTCCTGGCCAAGACAGAACAGCAACACAAAACAAGAACAAGTCAAAACAAAACAGACACAAGACACACAGATAATATTACAACACAGTCTGACTCTAAAAAATGCTAACAGTACAAATACTTTGTATAAATACAAATCATGAAATCAACAACAACAACGTCAGCTAAAACAACACCTGGATGAATCAATCTCTTGCTTTTTCAATGTGGATTTAAAAACATTCAGAGAGATCAGATGTTAGAGTGACATGTGATTTTATTTTTGTTTCAGGATCCATCCCAGAGACAAGCAAGATGTAGCCTACAGACTGACTTTGGGAGCGAGGGCAATTGCTTACAATGAGAAGGACGTGCTCTTCCTCGGACCTTTCCCCAAACAAATCCTGTCCACTCACAAATATGTCAACATCACCTACGACCAGACGGTCTCGGTCACACCGTCCAAAGGCATCTTTGAGGTAAGGCTGGTATAGTCTGTGTGATTCACCTGCAGGGTTTGTTAACATCACCATTAAACAACCATTAGATGTATTTGATGTTTTTTCTGATAACGAACTAATTTCTTGCTAAATAAATAAAGAAGCTCTAATTTCCACCTGTTTGTCTTTTTATTCTTTTATTAAGATCTGTTGCTTGGGTACTAAAGCTCCATGTGAGCCCAAGTCTCCTTGGGTTCCAGTTCCCATCATGCAGTGGGGTGTGACCACTGTCCTGTTACCCAATTTGTGTGGCGGTGAAGTGGCTGCCCTCCGATATGCATGGAAAGACTGGCCCTGCGACTTTAAAGCCTGTCCAATCTACAGCCGCAGTAGGATTTTACCTGCACCTCCCTTTATCATCAATGCGGCTGAAGGAAACGTTTGGAAAAGTTACTGAACCAGAAACTGTAAGAAGACAAAGTGATAAAAAAAAAAGGTGTACTTTTTGTTTCTTTAGGTCAAAATGAGCTGATTGGACAGATATGAAGCCAGATCGACCAGACCTTAAGTTCAACAAGGCAATTCATGACACTGTGGTGATGAGCTAGATGCCGTCAATATTCAACCAATCAATCCTAGCAGTTAGTCTGGCAGGACACTCACCATCATTTTGTAATTTTTTATTTTTTTTTTAAAGATCAGTCTGTCTGCTAAACCACTGAACATGCTTACTGGAGCTTAAAAACCCTGGGACAGATATATGGCTATATATCATTTTGGTTACACTCTTGTATACAGTCTATGCTGCTACAACCACTGTCAATAATTGCTGGACTGTATGAATGTAGACAAGTATGACAAATGTTTATTTTTATTTGAACAACACAAATGTGTCTTTTTAAATTGAACATAATTTGCACAAATAAAATACAAATCCACAACTAAGTTTGTGTGGGTGTGTTACATTCAAAGCCTAGGCTTTTACCTTCAAAGTAAAACAGATGGAAATGCGATGAAATTACTGATTAATCAAACACGAAAAAATATTAACTGTAATGTCTTGTAACAGCAACTTTGAGTAGCGTACCAACAGTTAAATACCATTGCTGTAGTGTGCCATGTACCAAAACCTGAAAGCATAATAACCATTTTTTAAGTTTTTCTTTGCAATTATTAAAACATGTTATACTAATTAAATTTTGGACATGCTGTCAACTAGGATACAATTTCTGAAATCCAGCACAGATATTTATATACATATAGTGAAGCATGTCAATATAGAGTTGTTGAGTTTATGGTGCTATTGGCACGTTAAGCATAAAGCTAACTCACCAACCACATTGAGTATATTAGCATCAACCATGTTAGCACACACTCCCAGTAATACTGTCTGGGCCTTGGTAGAATATGATGACATACAATAAATAACATAGCTTTGAGTTATTATATGCCTCTGTTTCCTGAATTATTGAACCAGGAAGGAAAAATAGGAGAGAAAAAAACCCAAACATTGTAGGCCATTGTAGGAATAAAAGTTCACAAGGATACTGTGTGACCTTGAATTCAGCGGCGCTTTTAGAATCAGGAGCTGAAATATGAGGTAGAGGGCTTTATGGTGGAGCTGGTCAGGTGGTGCTGATGAGAGGAGCTGGGAGACTGCGGTGTCTGTCCTAAAGAAAAACAGATCGGTACACAGTAGAATTAGAGTCACTGTTTGTGCTGAGTCATCATCATGTCAGCATTAGACAATGCACGAGATAACAAAAATAGAAGTACTGTAAAATGTCTGGCATTTCAGCCATGCTTTTACTTTGCTTAAATCCTAATACTTAGATACTGTGACTCCTGTAAGGTGGTATACTTTTTTCAGCTAACCTAGCCACTTGATATGTTATTTACAGTGCAGGCCTGGAGGAGCAGTTGGTGGGACAAGGAGGGTTATTCACACACTCCAGCAAAAGCAAAATGCTCACACATTCTGACCGCAGTTGTCGAGTAAGAAGACATCATTTATTTCCCACCAAGGGATTCTTAACTGTCTGTTAAACCTAAAGGCTACCATGGTCCCTACATGTCTGACACATCAGCTTTGATGCATCTACTTCAACGTGAAATATTTGGTGTACTGTACATGCAGTATTCAAGGTCCTGTAAATGTTAACAGGCATAACAAAACAGGTAATAAAGACTACATCTAAGCTAAAAACATTGCTGATATTGAAATGTGATATTTAAGCAACCTGTCATGTGCTCCGTCTTGATGTTCTCATCAAAGCCCCGGTGTCTCTGGTAGGCCTCAAAGTTGACAGAGGCATCGTCCTCTGATAGGCTGTGAGGAACCTGGCCATCACCAGGGCGGCACACCTCGAAACGTATCCACCTGTAGCTAAATAGAGTAAAGAAAAGATGTCTGTTTATAAAGAAATCTAAACTCCTAATGAATGTAAGCTGTCTGAACTTCCGTCTATTGATACATGATACTTATATAAATCATGCACTGTAAGTTGATGCATATTGTCAAAAAGGAAATTCAATTAAAATGCAAAAAAAGTTCTAATATGTTCTTTTTCTGCTTCAGTACTGCATAGAACTGGTTAAATAAAGAGTAGATACACATGCTTGTGCCAAAGTTACCATACTACCTACAGTACAGTATGTTTTTGTTTTAGTATTAAAAAAACAAATAATTCTTATTCTTAGTCAGAAGAGATGTGAAGTGGGTGAATTTACTTGCTACATTTGCGTGCCCCGGGACAACTCTGGATGAGATTCTGGATGGTGGGGTGTGAGAAGCCAAAGAAGTCAGCTCCTGATGGCACGATGGGCGCCACAGACTTGGTACTAAGAGAAGGACATGTTGAAAGAGTTCAAATTAAGTTAGAATTAAAAAGTGGTCCAATACATTTTTAGACATAAGGTAGACTTTTTCTAACACCAAACCTTAGAGCACAAAACCTTTGTATTATTTGATCATTTATGCCAAATACCCTCAATCAACCACAGCCAATCCGAGCCTCTGTGGTGAACTTTAGTACCTGACAGATGCAATGGCTTTCAGCAGATTGGAGTGGCATGTCAGGGCAGAGGAGGCCACGATGGCATTCTGAGGGTCTTCTTCAGGCACAATCTCAAACTGGGAGGACAATATTGGATTTGTATGTGTCAGTAAAGTTTATTCAAAACCACTGAATTGTATTCATAGCATCTCAAACTTATATTAATTGATAACAGTGCAGTTATCAGTTAAATGTTTTATTGATTTTTATTTTAAAATATTTTTTTTAAATACTGGAAACGACGATGTAAAATGATGATGGACATGTTGGACAACTGGACTTATATAACAACTGTGTGTGTGTGTGTGTGTGTGTGTGTGTGTGTACCTGTGGACCTGTTCCCCCATCCTTGATTTGGCAGGTGTAGAGGCACTGCTGGTCGGGGCTTTTCATGCTGGCAAAGACTCGCGTGCTGCAGAAGCCCACTGGGTAGATGGCACACTCATCGTGGAACAACGTCCTGTCTGTGATGATCTGGAGAGCAGTCAGACGTTGGCATTTGGTGAAACACATTTCGTGGTTAAGTGTCAGACTTCAGAGAGGCTTTCACATTTTGTCGTGTTGCAGATTTAATGTTTATTTATTGAACCGCCGTCTGATAGTTTAACTAGTCACAGTAAGATAACAGCATGTATGACTCATATTAGTGACCATGGTGATAATAAAGCCATAACACTGACCTCTCCCAGGCTGTAGACTGTTAAACCTCCCAGTACGATGGGAAATACGGGACGACCAGATGAGTCCAGAGGGATGGGTTGCACCAGCTTCCGAGACCCATCTGCTAGTTTTCTCTTCTTAGACATCTTCTTTGGAACTGAATGAAACATGAGAGAATAAAATAATGGGCCAAAGGTGAATGTAAAACCAAAAAAATTCCATCTATTTTCAATATGCATCTGCATTAATACTCACATTCCTCCTTTCCATTTTCCCTGCCTCGCTCTTTCCTTTCCTTCTTTGGTTTTTTAAGAGGTCCGTCCTCCCCTATTGACACCATTGACCCCAAGTTATGCCCCCCAGACAGGCCTGAAGCCCCTGCAGGACCTGAGGCTAATGCCACAGGCGGCACAGGTGGATGAGAGCTTGAGCTAGGCGCTGGCAGAATCTCCCCCTCTGACAAAGACTGGTACTGCAACAGTGACTTCAGTAAAAACCTGGAAATTAAAATGAATGTAAATGTGAAGGAATCATTTTGTTGTTGTGTTTTTTGGAGCCCCGTTATTAAGCATCACATCCATAATATATATGGAAAAACATGCACTCACCTCCGCTCCTCCTTTGCCCTCAGAAACTTCTCTTCTAAGTGGGCAACTTCATCACAGAGAGCGGCATTCTCCTGTGAGTAACAGTCACTCTTTACATTATCATATGCCATATGCATGATGTAAAAGAAAACCTGCAATAAGCTAGTAATAGTTGTTTGACAATTGATAGTCCACTCACAAATATCATGGCTCGGGCAGCCTTGCGCAGTCTAAGGTACTTCAGGCGGTACTTTTCGTTCTGGTTTTTCCGTGGACCTCTCTTCATCTTGGTCTTATGCTCTGAGGAACTGGTGGGGGAGGGGAAGGCGGGCGCCGAGGCACCTGAGCCAGAGCTGGAGATGGTATTCTGCTGCGGAGAGCCGAGGAAAGACTGGGCAGTGAAGGCCTGAAGGGCCTGCTGCCGCTCCTCATCAGTCTGTGAAAAGTCAGGGGGAGTGAAAGAGAGATCTGTTCATATGTACAGGAGTACCTGAGGCTAATGCTTGTGTTGCCTTCAGGATGATGGATGAGAATACAGATGATAAAATAACACTGATGGAGCTTACACTTAAGCTTCTGTATGACAAACAATGAAAGTTACTGAAACCAAAAAAGGGCACGAGATCCTCAAAACTAAAGAGTTGTGCTCTGAAATGGTCTTTGTGAGAATTCCCCTTTATTACTCTTTTCACGCTGAAACACAGATCCAAGAAAAATAATCTGTCACTGCCCGGTGTGCACAAGCCAACATGAGTTTGGAATGAGAAACTTTGGAATTCCGCTTTTGTATCAACTTTAAATACAGGACATAAATAGCAGATATCATATGACATTACACCCAGTTGTCAGATTGTCAGATTAAATCTCCACTGCAAAAACCATACCACTATTAAGGATGTTGAAATGTCATTTTCAACATAAATAAATTGAGTCTTTATCATAGAACTGTACCAGGCAGTGATGAGTATCAAACAGCAGTTTTGGACCCAGATCTTGTGTGACAGGCAATGCCTCAGTATGTATCCATGACCAATGCATTTGGATGCATTTGACCAACAGTCTGGTCAAATGCATTTTCAGTATCCCATAACATATTTGGGTTTTGTGTAACATTGGCATTAGCGTCCCATATAACTCACCAGCAGTGCAAAGACTCCGTTTCTGTTCTCAATCCTCTTGAATCTCCTGCTGCCCTTTTGTGTCTGAAACATAATGTGAGACTGAGGCCAATGCATGGGGCTGGAAAAGCCAGATTTGATTGCCAAAAGCAGGGGGTCAATTTAGATTCCACCATTATTAGATAGAGCAGGTTCAGGGCTTCTGCATCTGAGCACAGAGCGTCCTTTGTTGGGATTACAGCACATAAGTGTCTGCCTCTAGTTAAAATCGTGAAATAAGGTCGAAAAAGCAGAATGGAAAAACATGGAGAAAGAAAAAAATAGCAACAGAAAAACAGATGATTGCATGTTCTGTATCAACTGAACTCACAAAAAATGCAAAATGGAGGTGCAGGTCATTATAGTGAACAGCAGAGGTTGCTGTCAGACTAACTCTTAAACATCATCCTCACCTCACGGTACATGACAGCCTCCAGGCTCGACTTTGCACTGCCAAGAAGAGAACAACAACATCACAGGTTTGCAGTCTACTTCAGAAATGAAGACAAACATTAGGCTCCAGTGTACTTTTTAATACTTTGTAATAAGCCATCCTCACTGTTTCATGATCTGGCTTAACGTCAGCAAATGAGCAATAAAATGAGCAGTAAAAGGAGAGGATTGCTGTACTTGGATTGAACGAGCCCCCTGTCGATGATTCTCTGTTTAATCTCTTTTATGTGCATGGGACGTCCAGCTTCTTCCAACACAATCTATATGAGAAGAAAGGAGAAACACTTACCAAACAAGAAATCTCGCAGCACTCGATAAATGTTATTAGTAACACCAAACACCAAAGTAGAAGAATAAATGGCAGATACCTGTGCAGCATCGAGCCATGTGAGGTTTGGCTTCTCTGCAATTTCACTAGGTGGTTCGCTGCAAAAACAAAAAGTTTAGTATCATCCAGTGTGACATTATTATTTCATATACTGGCACTGAAAGGTCTTACTTATGAATTTGAACTACAATTTATTGGCCCCGAAACGGTACCCTGCTACTCCCCCAGTAGTCTCCCATTTCCCATAGGATAGCGACAACCTAACCCCCCCTCAACTCTATCTCTGAAAGAGTTTAACCTGAGCCAGGCCATACAGCAATAACAGCAATCATACAGGCTTAGTAGTATACACTTGTTAAAAAAATACTATATATATATAAATATAAATATAAGTTATATTCTGAATTGATTCCCTGTAATTTGGACACATCTAAATGCTCTTCACTGCAGCAACCCCACTCTGTAATCTGAATGGATGTATTCAATCTGGCACCATTATAAGCAGCGATGCTACACTATCTAAAGTACGACACAGTAATTGCATGTTTCACAAAGTATTTTCAAACCACCTCTCCAAAGCTTCAGCGGTCCCAGACAGACTCGCAATGCTGTCCAGAGCAGGAAACAGAGAGTAGCTGCCCTGACCATCAGCCTCCATCTCAGACTCAAACGTGTTGAGTGACTCCATAAGAGACAGGGGCCTGCGGGGAGAGGACGCATTAACAGTACAGCCATTATCTGTGTGTCTTCAGGTAGCTCATACACTCAGCTGGAATAACACCAGCGACACTGAGACTGTAACGTTAACACACACACACACACACACACACACACACACAAGTTATCTCCATATTCTGCTATAGTGTCGCTAGCTAACACTTGCTAACTGCTCCCAGCTGCTAATAACACAATTTACACGAGCAAAGATTATCTAGGAGCAAACAGATACATTACATTACATTACATTACATTACACACACACCTCAGTGAAACTGCAGCAAACCAGCAAACCCACTTCTTTCAGTTTGTGCTCCGGATTGTTTGTTTCCGTGTCAACCGGAACCCTCCGCTGTCGCATTGTTTACAAACCGAGTGGCTAAATGCTAACGCTAACCAGCTATCAGCAGCCTCCGCTGTGACGCTGCTACAATGTACGGAATTATATGTTATTAATATGGTTCAAAACGTGAGTGTCAAAGAGAAAGAAATATGCATATTGATAAAGGAGAACGATAGAGACAGTGGCTTACGCCGGACAGTTTCAAAGGGAACACCTTAACCGGATATCCGGTGTAGTTTGTTTAGATTGGAGTCAAAAGATGTGTTTGTGAAATTACAGCTACTCAATGGGGAGCTTTAGATAGAAATCGTATGGACTGATGGCGTTAAAATACGGCTCAAATAAAGCTCAGTATGATTTTTAACTCGTGAAATGATCTTCAGGTTAAACTATGTCAAAGATTTAGGTTGTCTAACCATTTACCTGTAAAACAAAATGTGTATTTTAAGTGTGTAAACTTTCTGCTGATCCCAAGTATATGACGTTTGTTTTTCCCAATCTTTTCACATATCATTTGTTCAATTTCAAAAACAGATATTTTTCTACATTATTTCATATGCTAAAATGTTTATTGGTCTTTATTTACACCCACAGATAATGAAATAACTCAGCGAACTAAGAGTTTGTGACATGTTCTGATTAACAACTGACTGTAACACAAAGAACAAACCAAAAGTCTGAATCAATGTCCTCATCTGTGAAAAATGGCACGAGATGATGTAATCAGTGAATCTATACATTGCGCTGAAAAGAAGCAGTTTTCTGTGATACAAGGACACATTTCAGGGCATAAAATCTAAATTGGTTGTATTTTCTCTTGCATTATTCTTTAGGTGTTCTTATTTAAGTCATTGTAAGTAATTGGCAGTAATATTTCCTCCTCCTCAGGTAGCATCACAGTAACTGTGTCTCTGAATTCCTTGTCATCCATCTCTAGAAAGGAGGATTCATGTTCTGTATGTAGAGGGTCCTGCCATAGTTCACATAGTGTCCATACACCACACTCTTCAGTAGTTAAAGGACACTGTGCTGCTCCAGCAGATGGTAACTGTTATCTGAAAAACTCTCTTTACGGTCAAGATAACTCTCAAAATCCCATTTTCTATAATTAGATTTTCTGTTTTGGCTCTTTCTGGCACCTGTAGTGTTTCCAAATAATGTTGTCCCTCACCATTCATAATTGCAAAGTGACCTACAGTATGCAGTGCACTCATAAATGTTGTGTGGTTGTTTTATGTACCGAGAACAACACACATATTACAAGAACATCTTGCGGAACATATGAATATGCCACACCTAAAACTTCCCACAGTGGAACAAAAAGTCATTTGAATTTATGGATGACTGTCAAACATGAGGTCAAAGTGAGCAAATTTGCAGAGAAATCGACTTCTCCATACTAAATTACACTAGAATTATTGCCTTTTTCTGTCATTCTGTCATGGTAGCAGGCAATTAAAGATTCAGCTTTCCCAATAATCTGATTTAAGCAGTTTCTTCTTATCAGTCTTAAAACCACCAAAAATCACTAATTAAAGTGTTGATATACATCCAATTAGCACTGGCTTTATCTGCTGAGGTTTTGAGATAACCTACATGCCTACACGCATGTTGTTCTGGTGAGTATCTTGAGTACACTTGAGTTCACCTCCATTCCCTTTGGCTGGAAGCAGATATTTCAAAACCTGATCAAAGGACACCAAAACAACCTTCCTGACTGGACCATTAGAGGTAAGGGAGAAAAAAAAAAAAAAAAA